TGGCACAATTGGGAAATTTTCAGATGACAAAAAATTGGCTACATAGAGGGTAGCTGTAAGCCCAAAATGATATAGATGGATTGGTGGAGTGGGCAGGAAAGTAGCAGATGTAGTTCAACTGTGATCAGTGTGAAGTATTCATTTAGGAGGAGGTCAAACAGTAAAAAGGAATACCCAATAAGTAGAAATATTACTGAGAAGTGTAGATGAAGTGAGATCTTAGTGTGCAAGTGCACAGGTCACGAAAGGGAGCAGTATAGGTAGATAAGGTTGAAAAGCAGCATATGGAAAGCTGTCCTTCATTGGCAGAGGTATAAAATACATAAGTAGGGATAAAATGATGAAACCATATAAGACACTGGTGAGGCCTCAAGTGGAGTATTTTGTGCAGTTCTGTTCAACACATTGCAGCAAGGACGTAATTGTTCTGGAGAGAGTGCAGAGAAGATTTACTAGAATATTGCCAGGGCTGGAGAATTGTAGCTATGAGGAGAGATTGGAGTGGTTGGGGTTGTTTTTCTTGGAGTAGAGAAGGCTGAGGATTGACATGATTGTGATGTACAAAATTGTGAGGGGTAGAGAAAGAGTAGACAGGAGGAACTTTTTTCCCTTGGCAGAGAGTTCAAAAAACAGGGGTCATAGATTCAAGCTAAGTGGCAGAAGGATTAGAGGAGATATGAGGAAAAGCTTTTTTTTAACAGCGGCTGGTGGGTATCTGGAATTTGCTGCCTGAGTTGGTAGTGGAGGAAGAGACCTAAACTTTTTAAAAGTACCTGTATCAGCACCTTAAGTGCTGTAAGCTGCAGGGCTATGGGCTGTGTGCAGGAAGATGGGATTAGAAAGGGCCTCTGGGTGTCTTTGGGTTGGCAGGGTCAAGATGGGCTGAATAGGCCCCTTCTGCACTGTGTCATTTCTACGGTTCTAAAATAAAACATTCCATTACAAATGCATGGCTCTTTAATTCTGCCCATCGTGTAAGGTGATTAGTTGGTATGGAAGAAGTAAGAGCAAAGCATGGTCTGCAAGCATCATTCATTGGCAAGAGTTAGCATGGTGACTGTGAAGGACAGAGACACAGATAGATGTACCTGAGAGTATGAAAAGGGTTGGGTAGAGTGGCATGAGTTGGCATGGAGAGTGTCAGAGGTTGTGGGTGGAAGGCCTATAGACCCTTACTGTTTTTATCATAAATACACATTTATTTTGAGCGGTGTGGCTCGGCATTGGCAGGCCCTGAGGCTACATTTGCACTGCTTCCAAGAAGGTAGACCAATAAGTTGGTTAGCCAGTGAGATCCACCACCCCTCCACCCTCACCTGACCAGAAACCCAAACTTCCAGGGTGCGTTCTTCCATGTCAGCAATTTTCCTTTCTGCTCAACTGACTAGGGAGTGAAAATTTGGCACCTAATCTTTCTGCAGGCAAAGCAGTCACATAACTAAACAACAGCTTTCAGAATTTGCAAACTTTGTCAATAAAGAATATTGTTATCAATATTCACTGACAGTGAGAACTTACAATCTGTGATGAGATAATGTAGCTGAAGGATATTTGGGCACTCTCCCTTTCATATCTTGTTTCACCATTTTTGCATGACAATCTGGTTTTCATTGCTTTACTGCACATTTGCTACTGCCAACTCTAACCAATTTGTGTTAACTTTTCTTCCCCTAAAGCTCCCCCACCTCTAGCCCTGAAATCACATCTTTCTCTAGTTTCTTTACCTCATTCCATCTCTGAGTTCATCTTCTTCATGTAGCTTACCTCTTATCCTCTCAATCCTATTCCTTCTAAAGTTTCCCTTCCTGGCTAACACATCATCTGATATTGTTAACATTTCTCTTTCTTCAGGTATTGTCCTTCTTTGCATCAAATCTACCATCATCACCCCTTTCCTCCAAATGTTCCCTATAATTTCTTTTTGCTATGCAGAGTCAGTATTTTGCATTGTGTTGTCATCTAAGACTGTGATAGCAGCACATATGTGCATCTTTAAAGGGCCTGTTGCTTGTGTGCAGCCTTTTTGTTCCCTGGGCGGTACACTCCTGATTATTATATACTTGTCTACCAATGCAGCTTAGAGTGAAGACTATTCTCCTCAGAAAACCGACTCTTGGCTTCATCCTTGCAAAGTACTGCCCCATCTTTATTACCCCATTCCTGTCCAGTATCCTTAAATCTATTTCAACCTCACACACCTATAGCCATCTTTCTCAGAATTCCATTTTAAAACTATATTTTTCACCAATTGTTTGAGTATCTTCCATAATATCACCTGATTTGATTTGGTGCCAAATTTTGTTTTGCATTGTGCCAGTAAAGTACTTCTGTTAGAAGGCAAGGTGGTGAAGTGTACACTGGAGTCAACTATTGCACTCTTTTTTTAATTAAAGCATTTATTTACCGCTATTACATTGTAAATGTATGCTTCCTAATATAACCATTAAAGTTTCAGTCTGTCTCTATTTATAGTGCCTCATGTGACTTCCTGAATAATGCCCGCCGCCTGAAAACAATTAAATACATTTAAAACTGTGAGACATCTTATTATCTTAAAGGCTGTAAATGTGTATAAGTTGTATATATTTTTTCTAGGTTATATAGATGCAAGTATACAGGTGGAAATGGAAAACCTGTATCATTTGGTCATACTTTCAAAAGCTCCAGAACTGAAATTGGCAGCCCATATAATATGGTGAGGTAGAAAAACCTGAGTAGTGTAATTCACTGAACTCCGCTGAACAGGATTAAATGCCAACAGAAAGGAAGATCCAAGAAAACTCGTACTGTTACACTAGCCAAGTATAAATTTTAGAAGCTCAGCTTTCCAAAGTAAAGTATTTTGCATGGACTAGAAATTACTGAATGCTTTGAACATGGGTGCCAGATAGCTTCTGCAACATGTACAAGATAGTAAAGGAGACCACTACCTATCTTTGTGAGTTTCTGATGCATAGTATTGCCACTGTACAACCAAATATGAGGCATGCGGCCACCTTGCTTAGCTGTACCTAACTTATCTTGGCAGGAATGCTTATACAGGTACTGTGTAAACAATCAACTGCTTTCTACAGGCACGGAACTTGAATGGATTGGCTCTTCAGTCATATCACAGCAATCCTTCAGTCAGGGAAGAATCTTAGAGATCACACATTTAAAACAGCGATTAGACCTAAAGAATACCTCACATCTGAAGAAGGGTCTTGACCCGAAACTTCAGCTTTCCTGCTCCTCTGATGCTGCTTGGCCTGCTGTGTTCATCCAGCTCTATACTGTGTTATCTCAGATTCTCCAGCCTCGGCAGTTCCTACTATCTCTACCTCACATAGCATTGTGAGTTTTTGGAACTGTGTTCCTGAAAAGTATTGGAACCACTGTCCTTGAATATTCTAGGCAAAACTGAATAGAGTCCTGTTAAATAAGGGGTGAAAGGGTATCGGGATAGGAGGGAATGTGGATTTCCAGTTACAATCAGATCAGCTGTGATCTTACTGAATTGTAGAGCAGTTTTGAGGGGTCTACTCCTGCTCATATGTTCACAAGCATCTCCTGCAGATCAGTGGGAGAAAGAACTATTTTCTGATAAAATTTATAGTTCGAAATGAGAGTGAAATATGTTGCCATCTCTTCCTGAAAGTCAGCATATTTATACTGTTGTTATCTGCTGTGTAAGGGCTTCAGGACTCTAGAACAACCTTAAGATAATGTCACTAGATGCCACACTACACTAGACTACATCACTTTCTACAATGAGAGAGAGTCTTAAGAGCAAATAGACATGAACACTTGAAGGAGATAGATTAATTCTTACCTGGTATTAATATAATAGTGTTACTCTGAAGTCTAAGTTTTAACTTTGCCTTCACCTTGATTAGTGTGTCTTGAAATCAAACACATAGCTTTGTACCAAATCACACAGATGAAAATTCCACTAGACCAATGTCCATGCTGTACCAGAATCCCAACCTCCTTCTGCTTTGGCAGTTACTGAGATGTTGTTGCGTACAGCTAGAACCCCTCTAGCCGTTGCTACTTGAGGCCACTGATCCCAAACACTTCAAGAAGCCTCAAATGAGCAACAGTAGCCTTCCACCTCCATCTTTATAGTGATTTGTTCCAATTCAGGATGCTGTGCGACCTGCAGGGGAATTTGAAAGTGGTGGTGTTCCCCTACATCAGTTCCTCTTTTCCTCCACAGGGTTGAGGTTGCGGATTTGAAAGCTGCTGTTGAAGAAGCCATGGTGAATATCTGCATTGAAACTTGTAGATCATATTGTTAAGCATCAGTGGCGAAGGGAGTGAATGTTACAGGTGGTGGATGCAGTGTCAATCAAGTGAGCTGCTTTGTCCTAGATAGTGTCATTTATCAAGTGATATAGTTAGCATTGGAGAGAAAACATTCTTGCTGATTCCTCTTCCTAATTATAAAGGCCCTTAAAATAGAGTAGGTTATTGTGGAAATATCCCATGTGCATGGAACCTTCGAACACTACAGTTACATCGATAGAAACTACCTGTACCATATATATCTGGAAATCTAAGCCTCTTAGGAGAAAGTGCACCCAGATCACTCACCCAAGACTCTAGCCATCTCATAGTCAAACTTCTGTGCGAATAAGTCAATGCACATTTAAAGCAAAAGATTATTTCATCTTTCCTCAAGGTTCTGGACCACTCCCCTCCCCTGCTCCCATGTCATCAGATCATCATGCCTTGCATCTTGCAGTATATCATCCTCCTGTAGCTTGCCAGGTCCTTTCAGATTACTGAAGTAAAAACTACCAACAACAAGACTCTTCTCTCAATCTTCTCACCTGACACAGAAGGGACCCTCACTGCCACAGTCCTTGTAAAGTTAAACAGAGATTTAGAATGCTGAGGAATTCCTTAACTGTTGGATACCCAGTCGTAGTGAGAGTCCCTCAACATGTACAGAAAATCTTCTTAAACATGTTAAAAGCAAATTGCTTACTAACGAAAACTTGGATATTTTATTTTAGCTACAACCTTGGTGTAACGTGGCTTGCAGTACCAGGAGTTCCAAGTGACTCCCTTATCCGCTACTTTATACCATCTTGGAATGGAGATTTTGCCTTTATGACCAATATTGAAGAGGTAAGTGGTACTTTAGCAATGTTCATCCACTTAATTTCCTAAAATACAAATCAGTATAAGATAGTAGGATGAAAAGAGTCTACTTAATTTATCATAGATAACAAGGTGTAGAGCTGGATTAACGCAGCAGGCCAAAGTTTTTTCTGAAGAAGGGTCTAGACCCGAAACGTCAGCTTTCCTGCTCCTCTGATGCTGCTTGGCCTGCTGTGTTCATCCAGCTCTACACCTTGTTATCTCAGATTCTCCAGCATCGGCAGTTCCTACTATATCTATTTAATTTATCAATCCGTTTGTCGCAAAGATTATGTGCAGTACGTTCTCTTACAGAAGTCATCCAACTGCTATAAGTTCTGAACTTTTTTTTATTATTCATGGGATGTGGGTATCACTGGCTAGGCCAGCTTGAATTGCTTATCCCTAATTGCTCAGGAGACTGTTAAAAATCAAACACATTGCTGTGGGTCTGGGGTCATATGTAGACCAGACCAGGTAAATATGCCAGTTTCCTTCCCTAAAGGACATTAGTGAATCAGATGGGTTTTTCCGACAATCAACATTGGTTTCATAGTCATCATTAGACCCTTAATTCCAGATTTTTTAAAATTGAATCCAAATTCTACCATTTGTCACGGGAGGATTTGAACCCAGGTTCCCAGATCATTTCTTGGGTCTCTAGATTAATAGTCTAGTGATAATACCACTAGGCCATTGCACACCCTTGATATGGGTAGAATTATGCAAAAAGGACCGCCCACTTATATTTAAATGATTGATTGGCACTTAATACAGTGGACCTTCCCTAATGGAAACGATTTGATGCCCTTGTCAGCTCTCTCAAGTTAACTTTCACACACATTCTCCCTGATGGATAGGCATTGCTTTAAATAGATATGGTTAAACTCTGCTGTATTAATTACTTCAGGCAATGATCAGAGTTTCTATAACAGTAAAAAATGCTAAGAAAGCAAAAAGTGGTCTTTGAGCAAGGAGGACCAAATGATTAAGCATCACAGGTTGACATCAAGGCAAATGGAAATGTGTAGCCAACATTTTGCAAAGTTGGGCCAGTGTCCTATGCCCCATTTGAAGCAGTAAGTGAAGACCTAGGTCGTGAAGTAAGAACAGGGAAAGAAGAAAGTGAGGAGCAGTGAATGGGCAGCACTTGTTAGTTTGAAAAGCAGACAGTTCTGTTCAGATTTGTGGGAAATTTAAGCAAGTGATAAATAAAGTGACTGGGCATGATATTATCCATTGTCTAATAGTGAAGCATTGTTTTCTAATTTAGCCAGTGGGAAAGTGTTCAGTAAATAGTTCTTTTGAGTTTATATTTGCAATTAGAATTAATTGAAGAGAAAAATATTGCTTAACATTCGTAAACACAAAGGATTGTACCATTGTGAAAGATTACTATTTGTGATTCCTGAAATGGCAAGAAGGGAGTGTGTTCCTTGTTAAATGTCATCCTAATCAGCAGGAAGAGCACATTTTAAGATTGTACAAAATCTGAGATAAACTTCAAGATTGTGACATCAAAAATATTAGTATCCACCCAAAGCAGGAGATGGTTGAGGGGATTTTGAAGAAGTGAACACAGTCCTGACTAGCAATTCTATTTGGGCCCACTGTGACTCCAAGTGACAATTCGACTTAATACATGGTATTCACCACTATGTGGCGTAATTTCACATAATACCAGGTAGTGTGGAGAGGTCTGTAGCATATGCTTTAAGTACTTTCACAGAATCAAAACAAAGTTGCTCAATGTTAAGAAAGAGGCATTAGCAATTATATATGGTGTCTAATCAGTCAGGTCAATATATGATAATGATTGGTGACTGTTGGAATGATGACTGGACATGCTTAGCCACTGATAAGTGGCAAGTAACACTCATGTTTCACAGATGCCAGGTAATGACCATGTCCAATAAGAGAGTTTAAGCATCACCCCCTTGTCATTCGATGACATTACAATTAAGAAATCCTCACTATCAACGCTCTAGGATTACCACTGACCAGAAACTAAATTGGATGAGCCATATGAATATACCAGCTATTAGGGCAGAGGCTAGGAATTCCAAGGCAGGTAACTCACCTTCTGTCTCCGCAGTGCCTGTTAACCATCGACAAGTCACAAGTCAGTGGAGTGATGGAATACTGTCCACTGGTCTCGATGGGTGCAGCTTCAATAACACTCAAGAAGCTGGACACCATTCAGAACTAAGCAACCTGTTTGATCAGTATCCCATCCACCACCTTCAAAATTTGCTGCCTTCACCATTGATGTATAGTGCTAATAATATGTACTATCTACAAAATGTACTACATCAACTCAACAAGGCTCCTCTGACTGCACCTTCCAAACTGCGACTCCTACCAACTGGAAAAACAAGGGTAACAGATACATGGGAACACCCCATCTATCAAGTTTCTGTCCAAACTACTCACTATCCTGACTTGTCATACGTTGCCATTCCTTCGCTGTCTCTGAGTCAAAATCCTGGAACTTCTTTCCTAACTGTGTGTAAGGCATATGGGCAGCTAACATTGAGAAGGCTGCAACAGAGACATTTTGCGTGCATACACAGGAACCTAGCTCATGGACTGGACCAGGCTGCGTCTCGGGACTGCTCGCTTGTTCTTTTGGCATTTGCTTACTTTGCGCCTACCTGCATGCTTGCACCATCCATACCTTGTCTTGCAATGTCTGTTAGCACATTGGTGCCATCGCCAGAACCAAAGGCTTTCAATACTGCTGGATTAAGGTGCTCTTTAGCACAGACACTCAGACAAGATAATTGTCATGCTTTTTAGTAGGGAACCTGTCCAGGGGAGGGTTGAACATCTAGGTGAATGGCACACTGAAAACAGTCTAACACCTACAGAATGTGTCAGCTGCCTGCATGGTAAACACATTCAACCAAATGGTTATGTTGGAATCTGGTGTGGGCTTGTCCACAGTCAAATCTTGGGGGAGCATGCTGTTGATCAGGTGGTCTCAGTACCGTCAGTCATGAGCACAATCAGCATTTATTTCAGGGATTTTGACACAGCAATTTGTCTGCTTGATTAGGGTATCTGTCCAGGGAGTGTTCAGTCCTGTAGGGCCAGCATAAACAGTAAAGTAAATCATGGACCATCAGTTGGAGGGCAGCAAGGGTAGTTTGAGATAAAGGACCAGCTGGGGTCTGGTGCTATTTGTGTCTACTGCAAGCTACCTTCTTAGCCATCACTTTCACTTCTGTAGATGCAAAGTCCAACAACACCTGCAGTGGCGGGAAATAACTATTAGTGTGATGGGTGAAAACATGTGATCCACATTTGCCACACTACATTGTGAAACAAAAAGAAACAGCTGTTGCAAAGCTCATTTGTTATGTATTCAGAGTGAGGGTACTTAGGGGTCAGATGCTAGTCAAAACGGTTTTTGCTACATGCCATTGGTGCTCACAAATTGAGCTTGGGCACCTCAATAATGTTGAATTTATCAGCAAGTGGTAGAATGGGTCACTGTTGGCCGAAGTGGACACTATTCGTACAACTTCCAAGAGTCCTGTGTGAGCCACACAAGTTTGATTCCTTATCTATCATACAAGTGTTACAGAGCTGAGCTGTAATGAGTGCTACAAGCCAGGCAAAACCTCACCTAATAGATGACAGCTGCATGGCGCAGACAGTTGTTGACTGTAAAATAATCTTTGGCCCTGATGCTGAAATTGGGGTGGCATTGTGGGGTTCAGCCTGTTAGCTTTGTTCATGTTGCCTTTTGCTTTATGTATGTAAAAGTTCACATTCATTTTGGTATTTTTCTGATTGCTTACTTGTATGTGGTGTTCCCCTACTGACAATGACAAGTATTATCTACAGCGGGCATTGACTTAGAAGGTGTTCAGATAGGATGTAGCTAATGACAGGTAAATGGACATTTGGTGTGGTGGTTAAACACCAGTAAAAGATAGACAGTAGAGATTGTATGTGCAAGGGACTGTCAGCATGCCATTGGCAGCATGGCTGCTTTGCCATGATGTTGCCAGTCAGGAGCAATGCCAGATTGCCAATGCTTGTCCAAGTGTACAGTGGCGTTTCAAAGATGGCATCGGCACAAGGAATACTGGTGTATTGATGGTCATTCACTGAGTGGCGATTTGTTCAAGGAAAAGCATGAGGCAAGATGAGGCAGAAGTTAGATGTGAAAGCTGTTGTTGGGCATGGTAGGTAATGAATGAAGCATGTTTGGTAAGTAACAGTGAGGAACTCACTAGGCCTCATGCTGGATAACCCTTAAAAAAATCTCGATTAGCCAAAACACTGTAAAATTCAGCCCATTCAATCTGGTAGGCAAGTACCTTGCTCAAATCAAGCGAACTACCCAACAAAATGCTACTCTTCAAGTGTTGCAAGAAGTAGAGAAGAAAGGGTTCCTGAAAGTATTAAAGGCAGTCCAGAAGACATGAATGTAATGGACATCTGGAGATGAATTGACAGCCCAATATGTTATATTATACAAAAGAAATAGAATCATTATCCTTGAGAAGTTGAGATGCTAAAGCCCATCCATGCAAGCCACCAAGGAACCGAGTTCAGTCTGAGGAAGGCATGACACATGCTCTACTTGCCAAATATGAGCAATGAAATCATGGACCACATCAGCCACTGCAGTATGTGTAACAAATAGCAAAGAAAGCAGGCTAAGGAGCCAGTGGTGACACCTGGTATCCCAAACTGACCATGGATGAAGCTGGCGTAGACCTCTTCACTGTCACAGGGACTGTAGACTACTGTTTTGACTACTGACAGGTAGACCAGCTGACTTCCACAATTCCCATCAGATCATAGAATGCTTGAAAGCGCATTTTGTTCGTTATCCTGTTTCATCACGGCGATGAGTGACAATGTTGCTTAGTTCACAATGAAGAATTCAGCCGCTTCAGAAAGGATTGAAAAATTTGACACCGTACATCATTTCCACACTTTCTGTTGTCAGCTGGAATGACTGAGGTGGTGGCGAAAATCGTCAGGTGAATCATAAAGAGATCAAACAAATGCAGCATAAACATGTACATTTCTCCTTGATTGGAGAAATACACCAACTAATTCATAGAAGATTATCCAGTACAAAGAGCAATGTCACGCTGCACACAAAATACTGTTTCAATGGCAAAACTGCTACTAAAGCCAGAAGCCTCACTCTTTGTGCACCTTCTGTGCAGCCATAACATTGTATTCCTCGCTATGTGCTGTTACCCTTATGCACTTTTTATGGTATGATCTGCCTGTACTGCTCGCAAAACAAAACTTTTCAGTGTACCCAGTTACATGTGACAATAATAAATCAAATCAAATCAAATCAAGGTAGTATCAGGCCTTAGTGACAAAATCAAGGTGAAATGGTAGAAAGCCAAATTTCATTGTAACAAACCTGCCTAACCTTTGTCAGAGTTGAGCATTGGAGAGCCAGTTAGGCGACAGACCTTCAATACTCTCAACCCAAGTGGCAACTTCGAACTTGCGCAGAATAGTTGTCACCTTGATTGTACAGTGTAAGTTATTAATCGGATACATTATTGCAACTGCCGGAATGAATGCCCAACCAAAGAAAATGTTCTTTGACTAAAATGGTCAAACAGGAAGATATGAACTTGCCATGTGTAGACCACAGATCAACTGTTAGTCCCAAAAGTCCACAGCATCACAATAATAATAATAGAACACCAACAGTTACTGTGGCAACAGCAAGTGACAAGGAAATGATATTGCCTGGAGAAGGAATGTCACCCAGATGAACAACTAACGACAATGCATGCATAGACCATCAAGGAATTGGTACAGTTTAAAGATTATGTCTGCAATAAAAATAAAATCACTTATGCATTGATTTAAACATGTAAGATTCTGAGGAGATTTAAGAGGGTGGCTGTGGAAAGGATATTTTCTCTGTTAGGGAACCTAGAGCTGGGTTCACTGTTTAAAACTTAGGGGACACTGATTTAAGACAGAGTTAAGGAGAATTTTTCCTCTCAGAGGTTTTAAGTCTTTGGATTGCTTCCTTAAAAAGGTGATGGATGCAGAATCAATGATTATTTTTAAGGGCGAGATCAGTAGATTCTTCATAAGCAAAGGGCTAGGCAAGAATGTAGAGTTGAGATTAAAATCAGATCAGCCAATATCTTATTGAATGGCAGAGCATATTTAAGGGGTCGAGTGGCATTTTGCTCCTAATTCATACGTTCATATAAGAATAAATGTGCGCATATTGGTTCATGTGGGTACCTTACAGTACAAATGATAATGTGTGCTTTTTTTTATTTTATGAGAAAAGAGGCATGTTTGGGATAGAAATGAAATATTGTAATGATGTACCTCCTGACTTGCAGTAGTAAAGTGACCCCTATGATGAGGCACTCACTGCAAACATCTACATTACAACCAGTTTAATAAGGACATCGTGCAAGCATGACTGGTGTCTTGTGAGCTCATAACAGTCAGCACTGCCTATTTTGGGGCAAATCAACTTGCGTAAAAAAACTCAAACAGACAACAGGACATTTATTTGCGCATATTGCTCCAAGAGTAGCCTTGCACGAGGATTTTTTTCCCTTCAATATAGCAATAATATATATAAGATTCTTGCCCACTATATTAGTGGCATAGTAGTTCAGTTAGTGCCCGAAAATCAGGCTCTGCATGGTCAAATCGATGGGCCATATGCTGCGCAACAAAATTGGGAAAATTAAGAGTTAAACTAAAATAATAATTTGTGACTTCACATGCATTATCCAATTTACCTTGAATAAATTCTCTTTTAGCTGTGGTATGGGAAGGATGGTTTTCCACATCTAACTCGCTTGCGCCCTTCAAAGGGCTGGGTTGCTTTTATGGAAGTGCAGTATGTAAGAGGGAAGGCTTCCTACTACAAAAGTGAGACTACATTAAGTGTCTTCTTTGACAGACGACAGAAGTTACAGGAGGTGAGTGTGAGGTTTTTTTTAGGCATTATTTCTAAATTAATTTTATTTATTGTATTAATCCAGCAACAACTAGCAATAATAAGATCAATGATCAGAATTCAATAAATAATGAAGGTCAGATTGCTGTAGTCTTATCAGACCATAGGGCTGCTCTCTCATTAGAGTGAAATGACTGGTGTTGGTTTAACTGGAGGGTCACCATACCTCAGGCAAGGGAAAAAGTTAAGAAGGCAGGATCTTCATGGTAAATTCAGCTGGTGTGGGAATTGAACCCGTGCTGGATCACAAACCAGCCAGCCGACTGAGCTAGCCAACCCCTTTGTGAATTCAATATTCCTGCATGTACAGGAGCACACTTTTCTTCAACACTTTTTTTTGCTGTAGGGAATTTTTATGATAAAGAAACACAACATAAATTTTCTTATTTTTTTTTGTCACTTGTACAAGTTTCATATATAATCGATTCGAATCAGAAACAGAACTTAAGAAAAAATACTTGCCATTCTAAACTGTGTCAAAGCCTTAATCTGAATTCTTTAGCTTCTCTACCATTGATATTGACAGAAACTCCAGTGTTAGCCATAATAACAAAGCTGTTTCATTAATTGTCAGTTGAATTTTTATAGGAGCTTACGAAGCCATTTGCTCTCCACAGACACATCAATTTATTTAAAAGTTTTAATTTAAAATGTCTTAGACCTTGTTACAATGAAGGAATTTGGTCAGTGAACAGAGCATAAGTAAAGCAGTAAATGTGTCTAATTTAATTTAAAGTCAAAAAGACAAATTTTTAGGATGCTACTTAAAGCAAAGAGAAAGAAACAAAGCTAATTGGTTCTGGAAAAGAATTTAGACAGAAGGGAAATAATCATAAAAGGACCACACTCAGTAGATGAACTTGGGTATTGGTAAATTACAAGTGATCCAAACTCAGAACAATTGGAAGGGTGGGACAGTTGGATGGAGAAGATTTCCAAGGTAAGATGGAACGAAGTCTGGAAGGATATGAAGGCAAGAAGGTTTCTTGGAACACAGAAAGAAAATCCCTGAAATCCAATTAAATTTAACCCTTTTATGTCTTCAATAAAGTTTGAAACTATGAACTGACCAGGATGATAGAGTGGTGGAAGAGGATGCAGTGGGGCAGATTATGAACTTTATGGATTGGATTTCTGCTACCAAGTTAGATAGATTGAGTCAAGCAATTTCAAGGATTGCCATGGGAAAAAGTGCCCCAAAAGGCTTGATTATCATTCTTTGAGGATGGGAAGATGTTGGGCCCATTGCTCCTGGATGAAGACCAGAGGGAGGAATAAGGGTTACCAATTGCTAAGGCCAGCTTTTTTAAACTTCAGAACTTAGCCTCAGTTATTTTGTTAAAAATCAGCCTCTCTAGCTCTTACTCCTCATACCACATCATTTTTCCACTCATTCCCAATGCCCCATCTAAATCATGCTGCTACCTACCTCTCTGGCCCCTTGCAGCACCTATTCCAACTTCATGCTAACACATTCCCACCCATGCTCTCCACTTACCCCCATGCTTTCTTATAACCTTTGCATCAACATAATACCAATTCAAGCCCCCATCCCTTATCACTATTTCCCTTACACCCTCCATGCCAATTCATTGAATATCCATAAGGACTTCAGCCACCATGTTGAAATGAAACAAATATCAAAATATCTATTACTGCCTTCGCTCTGTTAAAAAAGATTCCATTCATTAAAGCTCACTCAAACTTTAAAAGCCCGACAAGTCTTTAATTTCACAACAAGACCAATAGACTAACGATCATAACACCATAGCAAATCTAGCTGATCCTTATAATAATAATCTCTTTTGAACTGCAAATTGACATTGAAATTACTGTCCTCTGCTCAGACAACATTAGACTGTGGAAAACAGCCAAACATTAATATACTTAAAGAATTGCCAGCAAGAGTTACTGTAACTTCTGGAACAGATGCTTTTCAACTTCTGCAGTTTTTTGTTTTATTTTTAAGAGGGGTTGGCATTTTAAATGTCTTCACAGCTTGACAGTTTTACAGATCTTATCCAACCTTCACAAGCATTTGTATACAGTCTAAAGAATTGGGACCTAGACATTGTAGAATAAAGCTCTCACTGCAGCTAAAAGGGGGTCTGTTTGAACTCAACACTATGTTTGGATTTCCAACCTGGATGAATCACACTCGTCCCCTTTCCCACAACAGTGAAAATGGGATCGGTTGGAAGTGATGGTTGGACTTAATGTCTCCATGACTCCAAGAAAATCTGCTCGTGTAAGTTGATTGGAAAGGATATGAATGACTGTCAGAGACACCTGCTTAATACATCAGGGCCTATTGGTTGCCTATATGTCAGTTAATCCTAGCATGACCTCAAAGGAACTTGGGAAATTAATTTGAGGTCATGGCAGAAACCACTTAGATTTTTGTGGAGCTCAGAGAAATATCCTTGACCCTAAGCTGAAAAAGATAATTTTAGGACCATGGAATATTTATAGCAGAAAAATGTCATTCAAGCCATTGTGTTCATGCTTTCCTTCTGAAGGAGCAATGTAAGCCCCTTGCCATTTCCATAAAACCCTTGCATTTTTTACTTTTTAAATAATGATCCAGAACCCTTTTTAACACCTCAGTTGGCACCAGACACTCAAGCAGTGCATTCCAGTCCCTGACCACTCATTGTGTGAAAATGCTCTTCCTCATATTGTCATCGCTTCTTTTCCCAATTAACTAAAGTTTGTGCCCTCTTGTTCTAGACTTCACGTGATTTTGAATACCTTTATCAAGCTTTCCCCCAACTTTTTCCTCTGCAAGGAGTACAGTTCCAACTGTGTACACAGTTGAAATTCCCATTCTCGTAATTTTTGTCCACCCTCTATCTACTGTCCCACAGCCTTTGTAAAGAGTGCAGCCTGGATGTGGATGCAATGTTGGACACTACAAAATGGTTGTAATGCTTAAAATGACATTTTGCGCAAACTACATGAGAGTAGATAGCTTTCAATAGTGGTTGTTTAAATCCAGTTCAGTTTGTGTGATGATCAGCAATGCACTATGACTCAACATAGTTGGCTTCAGAGCCGCAGTCATATTTTCCTTTGGTTTTCAGATTGTCTATGCAGCTGTTCCAAATGGCACCACAAAAATCTTTAAACGAGCAATCCCAGTGGAGGAATTATTATCCTATCAGGAATTCTTTAATTTGCCTTACAATACTGAGAACTCTCTGTAAGTAAAGACAACAATGTAAATCATGGCCGTGTCTAACACTAGGTTACGTTCAGTTTACTTTGAAGTTTGGCCGTCCGACATATCTATTTTAGAAATATATTTCTTTCGTTTTGTGTTCCTTACTCATGCAAAAAGAAAACATGCTACTCAACTTGTAATTTTAACTTGTATGAATTTTATGGTCATAAAGATGCCTGTGGTAGATGTAGAATAAATTGGATAAATCAGATGAAAGTCAGAAATTATGCATCAGTGTGTGCCGCACCAGTACACCTGAAATTTACCTTCAATAGTTCCTCAATTGTAATTGTAACTTTCTTTTTCATTTTCCAATACAACCTGAAAAATATTGCACATGCAGGGGCAATTTTCCCAGGCTCCATCACTGGGTAGCGTTGTGTGGAAACCTATTGAGGTCCAAAAATTAGGCCCATTACCATGTGTACTTAATCCAAGGTGCGTCCAATTCCGGTTTCTTGCTGTAATTTTTCTCTGCAGCCCATGGTATAATCCAGCTGGTACGTTATCTTGGTACCTGAGCTGTTGTGGATGATTCCTACATTTTTGGTTAATTTTAACATATGGGGCTGTATGTTTCCAAATCGATAATGAAGCAGTAAAACTAGAATTGGAGGCCCTAATAGTACCTGAAATTGAAGAAGACATCCCATCAGAGTTCACAGGGTGTGCTAGTTTGATCAGTTCTGATTCTTCTGTAAGTGCTGTCCAATAATGGAGACACAGCTTTCTGCATTTTGTAAGCAGGGGCTGGTTGGTTATTGTCAGTACTATGCCTGTTGTGAATGGTCAGAGGTGCATGCACTTTGATAAGAATGTTGCTTTGAAAACATCATTGGGAGATATAACCTACACAACTGGCATCACATGGGTGCTGAAATTCAGATATCACTTTCCTCATTTGCCATGCCATGCTTGCAATGCTTGGAACATCATGTCCAACATTGGATTGATTTCATGATTGGATATGTTACAAACCACCTGATATTATTACTGGACAAGTCAGGTCACCCAGACTAAGGTATGACTTGACAGATCATATTTTGTTTTCTTTGTGGTTTTAATGAAGTGTATTTCACTGAAACACAAGCATGCAAAGAGACAGATCAGGATTTAATAACAAAATAAAAGTTTATTTCACAGAGGAAATTAAGATAAAATAAAAACTATTTGCATATAACACAAATTCAGAGATTTTGAAATTCAATGTAAAAGTGCAATCCCATGAGTCCCAAAAGCACCCCTTTACAGTAGTCACACTAGAATTCCCTTCTTTATTATAGGGCTTAATTTAGCTCTTCCTGATGCCTTGATACAACTGAGCTTAAACTTTCTCAGCTTCAAATAATACCTTTAGCATTCAGATCAAACTCTTCTGAGGATTTAAACTTAAACTGAGGTAACATATTTAACAAATACAAACTATCTTTGCACTTTCCCAGGAGCAACTGCTTTACACATCTACCTTCAGCCAAGAACCTTGTAGAACTGTAAAGCTGAAACTAAAAAACTTCTTCCTAAGGTTTGGATGTTTCCTTGAAGAAAAAAAAATGAATCTTTGACCTGCTAAACTGATCTCTAATGCACAACTATTTTCTCTGCTCACTGGTAAAGTTCTCCCAATGTAAACAGGAACCTCTAGGAAGCCTTTCTCACAATGAGTTTTAAAATAAATCACCATGGCTAGAGAAATACAAGTTAATTATGAAGTTCTTCAGACACACAGGAAACCCTTATGTCATTGAGTTTGGACTTTTGTATTTTGAAACAAAAAAAAGATGTTAAACTATACATAAATCACACATCTTACAACACAAATAGGATTTACTGCACAATTCTGAAAGCAACTAATTTCAGATTATCAGGTGGGCTTGCTTACTTACACTTGGTTGAAGCAACAGATTTGCAGACCCTGTCCTCTGCAAGCAGAAAGCACATGTCCAGGCAATGCATTTTTTAAAATTAAAACAAAAACGTGGGTACATTCCCCATGGTAAAACCTCAACCAATCACAGTTGAGTTACTTTCTTTGAATTTAGCTGATGACTGGTCCCTGATCCAATCTCCATGGCCATGCTTCTACCAATCAGAATCCACTTACCAACTAATCACAGAGTGGTGGAGGTGATGTCATTGAATATTTTTAAAAGTAGAGGAAAATAGATTCTGGACTAACAAGGAGGTCAATGATTTGTGGGAATGTGCATATGAAACTTTAGTTAGATGAATTATGATCTTATTGAATGGTGAAACAGATTCGGGATGGTCTACTCCTACTAATTTGTATGTTCACTTGTATACATGTAAGCTTTTTGCTGTTCTTTTTAAAATGTGCTATCCTTGCAGCTGTACCCCGCTTCCTGTCTTTCAGTAGAAAAGTTTAAATAATGTTGCACTTGAAATTGTGCCAACTTTCCTGTCACTGCTTTTGATCAGCAGAAGCCGCAGCACCTGTAACCCATTCTTTCCACCTGAGGTGTTCAGTATCATCAGTACCAAGGCTTTCTAGAATCCCCTGGCCTGTATAGAATCAGTTGTTTCCTAGTGGCACTACTGTGAAGCACAAATTTGCATGACGATGCCAGGTGCATAACAGGCTTATCAGTGATCACTATTTTGCTATATTTGTGTAGGGCAGAATCTTAAAGGGGCTGACTTCCATAGCCTATAGCAAGATGTTTGGCAGAATTGGGCAATAAGTTCAGCGAGGCCCATTTTGACTTCAAGGTCATCTCACTCTGTCTTTTGTGCTTTCCACAAACGGCATGGCAAGATTCTAGTGAGGCACCCATGATCGTCAATTAACGGCCGTTATTGATTGTAAAATATCTTGTTAATGCCACAACTCACCTCATTAATATTCAAAATTCGAAATAACCAAGCTCACCAAATAAGGTTAAGGTCGGGAAAACTTGACAAAGAAACCAGAACGAGCACCTGGCAGGTTCAGCTTGACACCTGCTACAGATGTCCTCCATTGTCAGGCACCACCATCTCAAGGCACACTCTATGGGCATCAACCAGATGCATCCCACTTCCACAGACATTGGCATCCAACATGTGCCAGCCTCTAAGGACACTCAAATCCTAAGAACCTTATTGAGGTTATGACAATTATGACAATTTTGACAGGGTAAATAAGGATATTCTGTTTCCACTGGTTGGTATGCCAGTAACCAGGGGTCACAGTTTCAAGATTGTCAGCAAGAGAGCTAGGAATGAGATGAGGAGAATTTGCTTTACTCAGAGAGTTGTTAAGCATTGAAATGCACTGCCTGGGAGAGTGTTGGAGGCGCATTCCATAGGAGGGTTTGAAAGAGAGCTGGATATAAATTTAAGAGTGATTAAGTTAGAGGGCTACGGAAATGGGGCTGGTGAGTGGGACTAGCTGGGTAGCTCTTTTGGCAGCCGATACAGACATGTTGAGCCAAGTGGCCTGCTTCTGTACTGTAAAATTCTATCATTCCAGAAGGTATCATGCACAGGCAACTGTTGTTTTTATGCTGCAGCAAGGACACTGTGCTCTGGGACACGTACCCAGTTCATGGATTGGATGAGGCTGCATCACTGGACTTTTCACGAGCTGTTATAGAGCTCATTGACACAAAAAGAGAAATTGCTGGGAAAACTCAGCATACCTGGCAGCATCAATGGAGAGTTAATGTTTTAGGTCCAGTGACCCTTCTTCAGAATTGATTGTAACTAGGAAAAGATTGATATATATGCCGTAGGTGGGGTGGGGGGAGGAGGGAAGGAGGGAAGGAGTAAACTATAGGTGGACATGAATGCAGAGAGAGACGACAACAGTTGAATAGACAAAAGAATGGGTGAGGTCAGCTGGGGGAATTATTAGCTGCAAATGGGGGCTATTATTATCTGACAGTGGGATGGTTATTGTACCAGCCTATGGGACGTGTGCAGGGATTGGAGTAAGGACAAGGAAGAAGGTACTAGGGCCCTAAAATTATTGACAAAGTCCAGTGTTGAAGAAGGGTAATATCCGAAACGTTGACTGCTCCTTTCCTCCAAACGCTGCTTGGCTTGCTGTGTTCTTCCAGCCTCCTGTTTGTCTACCTTGGATTCCAGCATCTGCAGTTCTTTTGTCCCTAAAATTATTGAACTGAGTCCTGAAGTCTGTAGAGTCCACATGTGGAAGTCCCTAAGCTTGCACTGAGCTTCACTAGAGCACTGAAGCAAGCCCAAGACAGAAATGTTGGCTAGGGAACACGGTGGTGTGTTGAAGTGGCAGGCAACAGGAGGCACAGGGTTACTTTTGCGGACAGAATGCAGGTGTTTTGCAAAGCAGTCACCCAGCCTCTGCAATATAGAGGAGACCACATTGTGAGCCGCAAATACAGTAGACTAAATTGAGTGAAGTGCTCACTGACTTGCTTTGCCGTTTAGCATAGATGCAAAGCCAGGAAACCGGCCATGGTTGTCAGCTGGTCTTAGTAGGTCAAGGGGGATAGCCTTAATGCAGATGATTCTGACACAGTAAGGCACGGGCAGCCTCTGATACTAGCCCAGGCCCTGCTTGGACAGTCAGTCAAGGTCTTGTCATGAGGAGCGAGTAGGTGAATAACAGGCATCACACCATCCATCTTGACTCATTCTGCTGTATTATAGGCTGTTATTCACCTGGAATGAGAGAGAGGCAGGTACTATGAGATTAAAAATGGATGGTACAGATGTTACTTTTGATGCAAGAGGGGAGTGTTCCAAGCAAATGAGTAGATAGCACTGAGAGCTTGCAGGATTTGTGTTGTTGAGAGTTAGCGTGAGTTAGAGCAAGGGGTGAAAATTTTGCAGGCAATAGTGAGTGTTAGAGCATAGTCCTTGATGGGAGGTGAGTACAGTAGCATAGATAGAGTGAGTGTGAGCTATTAGAGAGAAGATAGCAGAACTTAGCCTGGCAGAGTGGAGAACAGTATTAATCCACTTCCTACAGGGCTGGGCATTCCTCCAGACAGCCAAAGCTGCTTTAATCCAGGTGGCAAACTTGGACCAGGCTTGCATGGTCTGATGTTGTGTCCTCCACTGCTAGGCCTTGGGTGAAGAAGAAGCCCTCCTGTGATTCACCTCATGAAACAGGACCTCCAGAGCACTGCCTGCAAAGTAGGGTGTGATTTGCCCCTATCTACTATGTTTGGGGCAACTGTCAGAAACTGTGCAGGGCAGCATGGACTGACAGAAATTGTTCAGGTGCAAGACAGGGTTTTTTTTAAGATGGCACAGATGTAAGGGATGCTGATGAATTCTGGGATATCTGCTGAGTGGTAGGGCAGAAATTAGACATGAGAAGTATCATAGAAGGCAGGGTAGGTAGTTTATTAGGCAAGTTTTGGAAGATAAGATGAGAAAACTTGTTCAGTCTCACAGTGAGAAACCCTCCAAAAACTACAGCGCAGCTGGGACTTAGCCAGAAAATTCAGTCAAGCTTCACTGTAGCTCTCCCATGCAGCACTGATGAGGCATGGGAGTAGATCATAGAATCCCTAAAGTGTGGGGACAGGCCATTTGGCCCAACAAGCCCACACCGACCCTGAGAGCATCCCACACAGATCCTTTCCCTTAGAACCCACCTAATCTACACATCCCTCAACACTATGGGCAATTTAGCATGGCCAATCTAGCTTGCACATTTTTGGACTGTGGAAGGAAACCAGAGCACCTGGAGGAAACCCATGCAGACATGAGGAGAATGTACAAACTCCTCACAGTCACCCTAAGGTGGAATCGAACTAGGTTCCTGGCACTGTGAAGTGGCAGTGCTAACCACTGAGCCACTGTGCTGCTCCAGTACCCATTCTGCTTTTTGTTCCTACTTTTGAAATTGACTTGAGGGACAACTAGAAATAGTATAAAAACTTCTTAAATGTTGTCAGCATATGGTGAATTAAAATGCAAGGTGTGCTTTTATTGAAAATTAGCTGCACATTTTAGTAAGTGTTAATTTGTATGGTGTGTTTAGGTTTATATTTGGGGCATAGAGACAATATTGACTAGTTCCTAAATGAAGTCTCTCCACTATATCAATTGTGCACCTGTGGTGCACGAGGTCAGATGTTGTACATAACAGCTTTTTTTAAATTCAATCATGGAATGTGGGCATTGCTGGCTGGCCAGCATTTATTGACTGTCCCCAGTTGCCTTTGAGAAGATGGTGGTGAGCTGCCTTCTTGAAATGCTGCAGTCCATGTGCTGTAGGTTGGCTCTCAATGCCGTAAGGAATGGCAATATATTTGCAAGTCAAGATTGGAGGGGAATTTGCAGATGATGGTGTTCCCATGTCTGTGCTGTCATTGTCCTTTTAGAGGGAAGTGGCCATGGGTTTGGAAGAATTTCTGCAGTGCTTGTAGATAGTATACACTGCTACTGCTGCGTCGGTGTTGGAAGAAGTGGATTCATGGGGATGTGATGCCAGTCAAGTGGGCTGCTTTATTTTGGATGATGTCAAGCTTCTTGAGTGTTGTTGGAATCGCACTCATCCAGGCAGGTGGGGCATTGTCATCACACTCCTAACCTGTGCCTTGTAGATGTTGGACAGGTTTTGGGAAGTGAGGAGGTGACTTCCTCATCAAGGCATTCCTAGCACCTAGGAAAAGGTGGTATTTATGTTGATGACAGAGGGTGTGTTTGTAAAGGACTGAGTGGATAAGTGGAGATACCCTTGAGAGAGGCAAAAAAAGAATAGGCAGAGAAGGGGATTGTTGAAAGTAAACCAGGGAAGGAGAAGCTAAGTAGGTGATAATGGAGGCTATGAATAGTTGAAGA